CTATTTTGTTTTGCGTTTCGTTTTCGTTTTCGTTTTAATTTAGTAACTTTTTCGTCCCGACCACACAGCTGCGCCCAGCCAACCGACGTTCTCGCCGTTCGGCGCTCAGTTTGGTGCCACCACTCATGCGGGCTTTGGCGGCGCGTTTGGCGGCTTCGGCATCGCGCCCGCGGCCGCCGCGCCCAAGGCATCCGCCACCAACAACAAGGGCAAGGCCAAGGCCAAGGACGACGAGGTACCAAGCTCGCCCGCAATAGCCACCAACGGCGCACGCCCATTAGTTAACACCTTGTGGGGCTGTTTTGCGTGTGTTGCGCTCGTACGCAGGCCGAGCTGGTCACGCCGCTGGTCAACAAGACCAAGATCAACCCGAACGTGCAGGACGCCAACGGCAAGACGGCGCTTCACTACGTGGTCAACCCGCTCGACTTTGGCTCGTACGAAAACGTCAAGCTGCTCACCCTCCTCGTCAAGTCCGGCGCCGATGTCAACATCAAGGACAAGCAGGGTACACGCTCCCTCTGACACGACACGACACGACACGACACGACACGCACGACACGACACGACACGACACGCTGACATGTGTGTGTGTGTGTGTGCGCGCGTTGTGTCGTGCGTCGTGCAGGCCACACGGCGCTCTACTACGCCATGCAGCAGAGGGACGGCGTGATGGCCAAGGCCCTGCAGAAGCTGGGCGCCAAGCTGGACAAGAAGGAGACCCAGCTCTCGCGCCAGGAGTCCTTCGTCCACGCCGAAAAGTGGATCAACGACTTTGGCATCCCGCCCGTACGCGCCTTCCCCGTGTGTGTCGTGCGTGTTGTGTGTCTAACAATGCGCGTTGTGTGGTGTAGGTGGACTGGGAGCACGACGCGGCTGAGCTGCTCAAGAACCCGCCGCCGCCGACGGCGGAGGAGCTGAAGAAGGCCGAGGAGGAGAAGCGCGAGGCGCACCCGGTCGACCGCGAGTTCGACCTGTGGGAGACGTCCGAGGTGCACGCCGTCGACGAGGACGACGTCTACGACGTCACGCTGACCAAGGTCGACGTCCAGCGCGGCCTCTACGGCGTCAACAACTTCTACCGCATGCAGGTCATCCACAACAAGGTGAAGGACCTCTACATTCTGTGGAACAAGTGGGGCCGCATCGGCGACACGGGCCAGTACCAGCGCACGCCGTTCCCGTCTGCCGACGCCGCGTGCGAGGAGTTCCGCAAGATCTTCCGCTCGAAGACCGGCAACGCGTGGGAGGAGCGCGCGGCGTTCGACAAGAAGCCCAAGAAGTACCACCTGGTCAAGGTCGACGCCGAGCGCGAGCGCTCGATCGCCAACCTGCTCAAGCCCTTCGACGTCGAGATCGAAGACGACATCGTCGAACAGCAGCAGCCGACCAACAAGAACGCCAACAAGAATGACGCGCCCAAGTACCCGGCGTCGAAGCTGCCGCTGCCGCTGCAGCACGCGATCAAGGCCCTCACCGACTCGACGATGCTCACCCAGGCCATGCGGACCGCCGGTATCGACACGGACGCCATGCCGCTCGGTCGCCTCACCAAGGAGGACATCGAGGCCGCCAAGCAGATCCTCGCCGACATCCGCAAGCTCCTGCACAAGATCCACCCACCCGTACGTGTCGTGTGTGCGTGTGTGCGTGTGCGTGTGCGGTGTTGTGTGCGCGCACACGTGCGGTGTTGTGTGTGCGCACACGTGTGCGGTGGCTCATTTCGCGTGTGTTGTGTGTCACACAGGCGACTCCGGCGGCCGCGGAGGAGAAGGCAGACGAAGACGACGACGAGGAGAACGAAGACGAAGATGAGGAGAACGAAGACGAAGAGGACGAGGAGCGGCCCAAGAAGAAGAAGAAGACCGCGGCGGCCCCGGCCACCGCCACCGGCGGAGAGAAGCCGAAGGAGCTCACGCTCGACGAGGCCCGCGTGTTCTTCGAGCAGATCGCCGAGCTGAGCAACCGCTTCTACGAGCTCATCCCCCACGCCAACTACACCGTCGAGTCCATCCCGCCGCTCGACGACGAGAACCTCCTCAACGAAAAGGTGCGTGTCGTGTCGTTTGCCGTGTGTCGTGTGTCGTGTCATGTGCGCGAGTGGCGTGTGTCTCACGAATGCGGATTTGAAAAAACAGTTCACGATGCTGGGCAACTTGGCCGAGATCCAGACGGCGTCCAAGATCCTGCTGGGCGCGCACTACCGCGCCAAGGAGCTCAACCCGCTCGACTACTGCTACTCGGCCATGAACATCCGTCTCAACGACATCGAGAAGTACGCACGACACACACGCACAATGACACGACACGCACCGTTCGCACGCGCAGGTCTGACCGGCGTGTGCGAATTCTGCGTTTGATGGCCTGACAGGGAGACGGACGAGTACAAGACGCTCATGACGTACATCAAGAACACCGAACAGGGCGCCCTCCGAGGCAAGTTCATCACCAACATCTACAACCTCCAGCGCAAGGGCGAGCCCGAAAGGTATTTAAAAGACAACCACAACCGCCACGACACGCATGACACGACACGACACACGCTGACCGCACACGACACACAGGTTCCAGAAGTGGGAGGATTTGCACAACCACCAGCTGCTGTTCCACGGCTCGCACCTGGCCAACTTTGTTGGTACGTAACCAACAAATACCACTTACAATGCAAATCGCGTGCGTGGCGCTAACCACACACACACACACACGCACACACAACAGGCATCCTCTCGCAGGGCCTGCGCATCGCCCCGCCCGAGGCGCCCGTGAGCGGCTACGCCTTCGGCAAGGGCGTCTACTTTGCCGACATGTTCCAGAAGAGCTTCAACTACTGCCGCATGGGCGACGACTACAGCTACCACCACCGGCCCGGCAAGAAGCAAAAGCAGGTTCGTGTCGGGTTGTGTGCGGTGCGTGTCGTGCGGTCCGACAATGTACTAACTAACTGCACACGACACTACACGACACGACACGACACGACACGACACGACACGACACACAGACTGGGTTCATGCTTCTGTGCGAGGTGGCGCTGGGCGACATGAACGCCATCAAGGAGGCGGCCTACATGGAGAAGGCGCCCGAGGGCACCCACTCGACGAAGGGCATCGGCCAGCGCGGGCCGGACTTCAGCAAATCGATTGTGCTGCCCAGCGGCGTGGGCATCCCCATGGGCCAGGTCATCACCTACCCCGTCGACCCCAAGGAGCAGTACAACCACTACAACTACTACCGCCTCCAGCACAACGAGTACGGACCCCCCCTTATTCCTTTTGTGGTTATTATTTATTATTTATTATTTGTGTATTTGTAAATGTATTAGTGATAAATGTGGGCTAACATGAAATAACTCTGTTATGAATGTTCACAGGTACATCGTGTACGATGCCTCGCAGGTGCGCGTGCGCTACCTCATCCAGGTGAGCGATCAGGACCCCAACCGCAACTAAAAGGTCTCTCACGGCAAGCCCGTGTTTTTCAAATAAAGTATTATTCCAAATAATAATAATAATAACTCTTTTGCATTTACTAGATATCTACAAACAATTAGGAAAGAGAGTTTGTTTTTTTTTTACAGGAATGCGAGGTCTGAAGGTAGCGGTGGGATGGCCGTGTTGTAGTACTCCTCAAGCTGGCGCACCTGGGCGGCAGTCTCCTCCGTGACGAAGTCGATGGCCACGCCCCTGCGCCCGAACCTGCCCGAGCGGCCGATCCGCACCAGGTAGTCGTCCATGTTGGCGGGCAGGTCGTAGTTGACGGTGAGGGATACGCCCCATGTGGGCAGCTCGCTGTTGATGAGGACGCTGTCGGTGACGACGAGCACACGGACCTTGCCGACCCTGAAGTCGGTCAGCGCGGCGCGGGTGTCGGTGGCATCGGCCAGCCCGTGGACGGCACCCGCCGAGAAGTCGTCGCTGGCCAGCTTTGCTGCGAGCCAGGTGGCCTTGTCCGCGGTGTTGCAGTAGACGATGGCCTGGGTGAGGTTGATGATGTTGAAGAGGTCACACAGCGTCTCGTACTTCCACTCCTCGCGCGCGCAGTCGACATAGAACTGGTTCATGCCAGCCAAAGAGAGCTGCCCCCGCCACGCCGCCACCTCATCCTTCTGCCTCTGGTCCCTGTTCTCCATTTTTTAGTACTGGTTTGTACTGTTTTTCTTGTTTCTTTTTTCTTCAATAAAAGAAATCATTATTAGTTTTTTCATTTATTTTTTATTTGGTTCGTTTGCAGGAGGGGCGAGCCACCTCGGTGTCCGCTGGGAGGGGTGGGATTACCACTTTGTAGTACTCCGCCAGCTCGCGAACCTGGCCGCCGGTCACCTCCGTGACCAAGCTGATGGCCACGCCCTGCCGCGTGTACTTGCCCCGGCGGCCGATCCGTGCGCGTGCCACGTAGTCGTCCAGGTGGTCTGGCAGGTCGTAGTTGATGATGAGCGCGCCGGCCCATGTGGGCATGTCAGCGGCCACGCCATCGGTGATGACCAGCACACGGGTGACGCAGAGCCCGAACCGTTCCAGCGCGGCGCGGGCCTCGCTGGCGTCGGTCAGCCCGTGGACGGCGCTGGCCGAGAAGTGGTCTCTGGCCCGCAGCTGCTCGGCGAGCCGGGTGGCCGTGGCCGCGGTGTTGCAGAAGACGATAGCCTGGCCGACGTTGATGGTGCTAAGGAGGTCTACAAGGGTCGCATACTTGCACTCCTCACGCAAGCAGTCGATATAGAACTGGTGCATGCCCTCTAGGGTGAGCACCCCCGCCACTCTGCCACCTCGTCCTTCCGCCTCTGGTCCCTGTCCTCCATTTTGCCATGCCGCAGATTTCTTTTTTCAATTTCTTTTTTCATGTTTCCAAGAAATGAAAAATCTGGAGAAGAGGAAAATGGAAAAGAAATTTACAAGTGTGCATTCTTCGAATTATTTATACAAATTTCCTTCTGG